GTATATGAAATCAATGAAATTGATTATAAGGCCAAAACAAGATGAAAGATATGTTTTGCCCATATCTAAGATAGATTGACTGTATTTTCTTTTTAGAAAGAATGTAGTATTATGAACAGAATAATAAAAAAATTGTATTTTGAGTATTACCTCTATTTTTCAATAATTATTTTATCTCCATCTATTTTTACTTCTGTTATACTTATATGGATAAATGCTTGAACTTGTTAAATTTGCATCGATAACAACTGTTGTTCTTAAAACCTGGGAGTACTTGAATTATCAAACATGAGTTTACTTCATGAAAGCATAGAAATAAAAAATAAAATTAGCATCAATATAAGAAATGCAGCATGTTAATTTATGACAATTTACAGTATCATCCAGCTTACAAAAGTTTAATCTTCAATCATACCAGCAATTTTAGTTCATTCCTTCAAGCAACTGAAATATTAGCAGCATTTTTATTCCAAAAGATGTTTTTTTATTTCCTTTAAATGTATCATATTATTCAAGAGTAGCAGAATAATCTATAAATGATGCTGAATCATCGATACAATCTCTTCCTTTTATTACACTTTCAATTAACTAATTATTGCAATCTATATGATTTTGCAAATAGTTATTTTTTCATCTTTGAACTGTAAGGACATAATCCCACCAACTTATTATTTTTATTATTATTTAAATCCAACTTTCTCTGTCTCTATCTATCTAGCTCTTCTTCTATTACATGTAGTATTAGAAACAAATTCTGTCTGTACTAATATTTTTAATACGAATTGAAGCTTTCCAATCATATGATGAATAAGATACTCTTTTTTCTATCTTTACTTATCCAGTTTAGTATCAAGCACAAGCCTCTGGAGTACTAAGTAAAGGTTCAGGACCTATGCACACTTAATAATTTCCATTAGAATTGAATCGCAAATTCAATCTGCTTCAAATTTCTTTAGTATTTATTTTCTTGGATTAAAGTAAAGGAATCATCGAAACCTATACTTAATGTTTCTCCATCTAAGTTACACTTGAATAGTCTTTGTAAACTTGGTGCAAATTTGCATAATTCTATATTTCAATGCAACATATTCAAGTATAGGTGTAGATGTAACTCCATTAGTTATCACATAGAATATTTATCTCATCAATATCAATGAGCAACCTTAAGATATGCAGAGCACTCTCGAAATTATACTTAAATTCTCTCATTATAAATATGCTCAATCTTTTTTATAATTTCCCAAAATTTTATTTAATTTCTATTGAAACATTACTTTGCTTAAAAACTCCCATACTTTAAGGTTGTGTAAATAGGATCTATTAAAGAATTCAATAAACAAATATAAAAATTATACTGCTATAAACCAAATACTTTTATCAAAAACTTAAAATCACTATCATATCTGTCTACATTTATTTTAAATTCACTTTTCAAAATTAGTAAGTTCGTAGTGATTCTATTTTAATAATCAAATTCAATTTATTTATTGTTTGAATCTTTTTCAATATCGCATACAGAATTACATCAATCAATATTTACAATATTTCCATCATCTCATTACTCTTTACCTGCAGTGATAGAATCTGCACATTTTATTACACGTTATCTGATATAAAAATCTCTATACTAACCCTCTTTATTATCACCTTTTTAGCAATCATCAATTTTGCATAGAGTGCAATTATTTGGAGTATCAACACACTCTTCACATTAATCTGAGCATTAATGAATTAATTAATTACTGGGAAATATTCTTTTTAAAATGCTAAACAGATTATTTAATATTTGATAACGACATAAGATATAATTAGATTAGCAAAGAAACAATATTGAATCCAGAATCAATTTGACACATAGTACAACCATCTCTTAGTATAATATGAGCATCATCATCACACTATTTAGAAGGGAACATTAATCCATCTCCACAAGCATTAACACAAATTGAATTTTGTAATTTATATCCAAGTTAACAATTTTGACAAATTCAATTCCTTAAAGACATGTGTTATATAATTATTTAAATGAAAATTGGCATTGATAAAATCCATCTTAAAGTATCTCATTTCCATCGTCACATAGTTCTTTTCCTGCGTTAATATTATCTCCACATTTAGAATAACATTTATTAAATTAATCACCATAATAATATCCTTCTTATTCTATACATTTTAATCTTTTGAGACTGAATTAATGAATATTTTGTAAAAGATATTAAAATGATTGAATTTATGAATACTGATCCTCTACTTATCCAGTTTCTAATATATATAATGTATTTAGCATCTTCCAAATTACATTTCATAACCATCATCACAAATCATGCAATACTCAAGTAAACATTATTTACATGTAAATTCACAAGTATATTAGCATTAATGACATCCATCTTCAATATTCATATTACCATCATCACATTATTCATGATATGAAATAATTGAATCACCACAGATTGGATAACAAATCTTATTTCTTAATTCATATCCAATCTTACATTTGATACATCCTTTTTCTTCGGATAAATCGCAATCAAGATAAGATGAATCACATTAACCTTGATTCATCATCATATTTAGATGATATCCATATTAACATAATTTACATTTATATTCATGATAAAATTCACAAATCTTACTGTTTTAACATTAAAACTAACACTTATGGCTAAAACCATCAAATTCAATTGCATTACCATCATTAAATGGTAGACCTGGTACATTCACAAGAATTCCATCTCCACATATATTTATGTAATAATTTTAGTTTAACATTAACACTTCTCTACAATATAAACATATTCCCTTTGTATAATCACATTATTAACAATCAGGTCTACAAAAAATCTTACAATTTTTACAATTTCCATATAATTAAATTATTATTCTTTAAAATTCTTTTTTATATAAGTATAAACATACCATCATCACATTCTTCTTTTCTTATATTTATCCCACAATAACACTATTTTTTACAAGTGTGAACATAAGTTGCACATTCAAAACATTTACACATTAAAATTTGCATAAATGACACCCATCATATTAAATTTCATTGCTACCATTATATTCTTCGAAATCATTGATTATATATTATCTCGCATTTACAATTTATATTACTTGTCCAACAAAGATTGCAACTGACTTCTTGAGGGCATTTTAAGTTTTTATCAAGTTCAATAAAATAATAATATTATTCATTCAATTAATATTCATCCACAGAATCTTTAAGATATCCTTCAATTAGTTCGTAATCCTCTCTACAAATCTTACAATTTTATTAACATTTAATTCATTCACCAGATGAATTAGTATAATAACCATCTTAACATTCATTGATTATTTTTTTAGAACTTTAAAATGTTCCTTACCACATTCCGAAAATATTTAATCATTTATACATTAATTTCAATATTAAGGGAAAACTTTACTTTAATCATTATTTTTAAATAAATTAGAGTAAAGCAAACTGGAACCTTTTTTTTTAAACCAATATTAATCATGTTCTGTCTTTGTTTATTTATATAATAAAAAATACAAGTAAGTTTCTCTAAGATGTTTTAATATTAAAAAATGTACATATTTATTTTATTCAATTATCTTCACTATCAACCACTTTAAGGTTTTAACACTTTTTCAAAAAAAATTCATTCGTTACATTTTCTATTAAAGGTTAAATATTATTATGAATGCTGATTGTCTACCTTATATCTGTCTGTTATTATTATTTGTAGGGTGATCATTTAAAACTAAATTGTATGGAAACTCTCCCTAACCTACTGCCTATGAAAATCAGTTTATTACGATTTATCGCTTTCTCTTTTTCATCATATATTTATTATAAATCTCATGGCTAATAATAGTAATATTAAACCCCTAATTAATTGAATAATTCTAGCCCATACTCTTTTTTCTCTATGGTAAGAATTCGAAGCTCTTCAAGTTAATTATGGTATTCTAATCATTTAATTTAAATAATAAATTTTATTGTTTCCTTTATTATGAATATTTATATTGTTTCTAGAACATTCTTTATATAAAATTTATGAACTACTAATTAGTAATTATATAATTACCGAAAAATTCTGTTAATTGTTGATCCTAAAAATGAATATCAAAACATATATCAATTTTCTAATAATAATTATTATATTCATTAAAATGAGTGTAATACTAATTACCATTCCTTCAACATTTATAGAAGAATTAAAATAAATATCTGCTGATTAAGTTATTAATCATATTTAAAGAATCATTAATTGGATGCCATGAAAAGATAATTTTATTTTTGGAATACTACTAGACATTTAGGGATTTCAAGAAATTTTCTTTATTGTTTTAGCTGACATCCATAATCCATAAATTATGTTATTGGATTAATAATTTTAGTATTCTTACATAAAGAATACTATTTAAAATGGATTCTATAATTATTAATATTCTTCATATTCATCCAACTTTATAATATGGGATATATTTCAGTCTAATTCTCTATTGAAATTCAAATCCTGCTTCTTATTAATTAAATTGGATTAGGGGTTAATGTTTTACTAAATTAAACATATAAATTATCATTTCATTGGTCTCTATGTAATAGATTACAGTTTATGTTTTTTTTTTTTTAGGTTAAAGAGAATTTGTATTGAATAGATCACTTTTATTAAGTATAATCATTTTATATTATCATGTAGAATTGATCCAAGATATTTTAATCTAGAAAAGATTAAAGCAAAACATCTAACAATAATTTTTATTAGACCAAATGTTACTTTGATATTCTAACATAATTATTCTAAAAAATACTTATAAATCCGAGTAAAATTAAAAGATTCTAAAAATAGAAACTACAATATATAAAATTGATCATTTACATTTAATTTATCTTGTGTATTGGGAATAATTATTTCTATAATTAAAACAATCCTTTCTTCTATCTATTTAACAATGTGTAATACAAGTTCTAAAGATGAATTTATAATTAAATGTTTCTTAAAACAAATAAAAAGAAATTGGATTGGATTAATTATTTAATTATAAAGCTTGGATACTGAAATCTATTACAATATTATTTTTATTTCTTAAATAAAAGTCAATAATTGATAATTTAATTTAATTTACACTAATCATCTGTGTATATTGAATGAAAGATCATACTAATTAAATAAAATCTCTAAATAATCAAACTACGACATAAATCAAAAGTAATCACTCACACTTAATGATTTAGTCATATTTTAACATCTCTCAAATAAACATTATTCAAAAAAATCAATTCCACTCCAACATCAGCTTCTCTAAAGTAATAATCAAGTAGTTTTTTTTCAGCCTAACCAGCAGGAAGAAGAGATGTAATCATGCTTAAATTATGATTTATGAACTTTATGGAATCTATTCAGTAATCAAATTAGGATTTTAAAGATAAATTAATATCTTTGTCAAAAGCACTTCATCTATGTCTTTTAGTATCAAATTAATGTGCTGAAAGAGGATAGTTACTTCATTCTTAAATTAAAGGATATATTTTAATATTTCATAAACATTTTATGATACTAAAGTTTCAATTATGTACAAAATTATTGGATTTTGTTGTAGAAGAATAAGAAAAAAGAAGTTAAAAATTTTAATTGTTTGAGAAAGATATTAATGAATCAAAATAGAGAGAATGGATGAAAATTCGCTCATAAGTCTAAATAAATTAATTAAAATAGGAAATAGATATGTTGAAGTAAAAAGATAATATAATAAATTCAGAATGTATTAGTTATTAATAAACAATCAATAAATTATAGAATAAAATCAATTTATTACAGGCCATAAAAAGTGCAAGCAAATATGATAGTAATTTGACTAGGGAAATAGCTCAATTAAAACATTAGTTATCTAAAATAAATAAACATAAGCATCCTTAAATGAATAAATCAGACGAAGAGAAATAAGAATTATCATCATCTTAGTACTTAAAGAATTGAATCAATAAAATGAAATTGAATAAATTTAAGATGAAAAAGCAAAAAATGCTATAGAAATATTACCTGTGGTTTGTCATAGTTTTGGTATTTAAACATTTTAAAAATGTCTATGCATTATAGAGACATAAACAGATTTATAATAAATGTCTTCATAATATGATAACTTTTTATCTATTTTAGAAATAGAAAATACATTTAAAGAATTTGAACTTAAAAATAATTAGAACAATAGAGATGGTTGGATGGACTATCTAACCAAATGAATATTCATGCAGGCGAATCTTCAATTCATGAGCAGAGCATGAAAGAAGAGGCATTACTAAAATTGATAAAATAAATGAGGTACCTGAGAATGATGAAGGATCTCCTGATATGTAGAAGGAAGTAGGATTTCATTTATGATAGAATTTAGAAAGGTTAGAAGATCTTAAAAATTAATCAAAGATATAGGTAAATTTGGTTCAGATGGATTCTTAGATGTTAAATAAGTAGTATAATAAACATAAAGTTCTAATAATAGTACTCTATGGAATTCATAATAAACACCATAAAGATTAATTAAATTATCACCATAAGCCCTATCTAAGTATATTAAAATAATACTTGTAAAACAGACAGTGTTAAGTCTAATCAAAAATAATAAAATCCCTAATCATAAGTACCTTTAAATGTTAACTAAAGATATTTTAATAAATATCGTCATTTAATAATCTCAATTTAGTGGAATAAAATGATTAAATAAAATCTAATTAATTACCTTATCTAAAAAATAAACTAGTATGTTAATGTTGCTTTATTCAATATAAAAATAAAAAGTAGATAATTATTTCCAAAAAAATTAACAATTCATATATTGAAAACTTTATTTATTGCAGAAGAATTTTTATTTGAATCGTTAAGAAAGAAAATTGAAATTGATAAAAAAATTTGGAAGAAGAATATGTTTTGAAATCTATTAACAGTAATTCATTTTATCAAATATTAAGAGTTAATATATTTGCTACATTATTATATTTATAACATGATAAACATTTAAATTTTACTCAAGAGGAATCAGCATTTCTGTTATCATGATTAGAATATATTCATAATCTTGGTGTTCATATTGTTTAAGGTGATAGTGAATCTAAATTCTAAATACCTTATTTAAGAGCTTTAGAGTAGTATATTTATAATATGTAAAAGTGCATCTAGAAAATAAATTAACTGAGGATGAAATTAAAGAATTAAGAGATGATTAAGATAATCTAAAAGAAAGTGAGTGTAGGTGATTTAGATTTATTTATGTCAAAAAAGGTACTAAATAAATATAAAAATTTTACTCATAGAACAAAGTTATTTGTTAATCATGCTTTGTAGGCAGCTGATTTAGATGGTAATAAGAAAATCAATCATAATGAATTTTTGACTTTGTTTAGACATATAGAGAGTGATAAATTTGATTCATTAGATTTATTTGAAGAGGGAATTATCTGATTTTTTTACTTTTGAATTTTTATCTTCATCTTCAAAGATAGCAGTTATAAAAATAAACCTTGCAATTTAAGGAAAATGAGAGAGTGAATATAATAAAACAATGTGTGCAAGAATAACATCAAGAACAATGTAATTTTTTTTTTATTCAAATGAAAGATGAATAAATTAATGAGTAACATTTTTCAAAATATTTCATATATGCAGTTTTAATATAAAAATATAATAGCTTACTTATGGTAGTCTAATTCATTAAATGAGATGTTTCTTTAGAATAAAATCTTTATTTACAATGAAAAGTTACTTCATGACATTCCATTTGATGTGAATAAGAATTATTGTAAATCTAAGTATATAAAATTGCATTGCTTTTTCTTAAAATTTCAGTTCTACTAATTAATTAATTTTTAAGTTTGATTTATTAAAAAAAATGAGTATTATATCTTTCTTTTCTCCAGATATTCATTTATCAAAGTATTGATTTCTAATTTAATTTATAATTTAAAGTCAATGAAGATCATGGAGCTTCTGACTTCATCTTTTCATTCTCTACTAATGATTTTTTGGAATATTTTTCTATTGTATTTTTACTTTGAATCTCAATCTTGATTATTATCTTCATTCCATAAGAGCCTTATTTACTTATTAGACTAATAGGTTGTTCATCTTTTTTATATATTTCATCTGATTCTTCCTCTTAAGTAGAAAGAAAATATAAAAAAATATGCTTTTACTAAGATATGATCATAATAAGATTGTTTAGTATACAATTTATGAAGTCAAATTATGGTTAAATAATAAATAGATCAAAAAAAATCTAAGACTAAAGGAGGCAATACCTTCATAATTTAATTGTATTTTAAGCCAATATATTCAGAAAAAAAATGACTGATTGAAACAGAAAATGTTTTACGAAAGATAATTATATAAAAATGATATTGGGATGCAATTTTAATTAATATAAATAAATATTTTCATAGTTAACAGTCAGAAGTCTCTGTCATAAATCTCCAAATAGCGTTCTTTATCTACATTTCTAAGCGTAATCATGGTTAAGAGCTATCCCTACCACACAGGGGAGATTTTTTATTTACCAAGAACTTAAAAAAGTCAAATGGCCCATGTCATACATAGCCTCTAAGAGTTCAGAGAAGCAGACAAGTCATAATAACATATAGTCTCAGATATTATTGCTCCTTCCTCTGTTAACCATTCTATGCTTCAACAAATAAGTTGTCAAGATTGTCCAATCTTTGGTCATAACCTGAATCACACTAACTCTATAATAATTGAA